GCGGTCAATGCTAAGGTTTCGCTGATTTTGATTCAAGTTGTAACTGAGTTACACGTCACATTATGATATGTACAAACACATGAGAAAGAATTACACAGTGTACACATATAGGAGGAATGGCGTTACAGACATCCGTTACATAGCTTTATTATTAGACCACAATTAATCTTGCATGTTGGCCAATTAGCGATAGCCGCCAGCAATAGTAAAGTTCGGATCTTGTTATAAATAATAAGGGGTAAGCCTTTTAAGGGCGTTTATCTTCCAAGTCCTAAATTGTTCTTGATTATGATATAGCTTTGCTAGGTCTAAGAGACCAAGAACTTTCTAAGTCCAAGTCCTTCTCTGGCGCTAAATCCTGCAGCCCCGCTGCACAAGTGAAAACCCTGTCTCCTTACGATACTGAATTCCTGAAGTTGGTGACGACAGACCTTTGCTCTACATGTGCGTTCAAAAATTTTTTTTATAATCTTCCAATCTTACTACATGGCGAGGTTTTCGAATGTAGGATATGACGAGGGCCCAAAGCTGAAGAATCCTTTACTTCGAGGTCTACCGAATCCTAAAATTGCTAAAAACCTGCTGAGCAAAAATGTAACTGTGTCGTAATTTTGATCTATATGACCGTGCGGGAGAAGACACAAAGCATCATTCTTTAATCAATGCGAAAAAAATCAAAGACGTAAAAATGAGCAATGATTGCAGAAAAGCTAAATTGTTGTCTACGTTTGTCAAAACTAGGCCGAAGAGCAGCAGCATGGAAGTAGCGCCACCAAGTTCATTGGGCGAAGGAAGAACCAGAGTAAGGTGAAATAATCAACGACCTACGGCAGGAAACTCTATGCAGGTATAGAGTATGTGGAAAAGGTGCGTTCATCGAAATACAGCATAGAAACCAGATGAGGAGGTCACGTTTACGTTCTTTAACACGGTCGATATGCTTTAGTACATACAAGTTCCTGATGGTGGACGTGGTGGAGAGGTCGGCAAGTCTCGTGCTGCCACCCTAAGATCCTTTGGTACTTGTATATATCGATTCGAACCATCAAAAGATGCTTTGAATCGATATTTACAAGCTCCACCGGTAGATGGGATACAGAGCTATGAATGATTACTTGTAAGGGCAGTGCGAAATCACCGGTTCCCCTTTTTTGTGACTTGACGTTAGTCACGTTTCTGCGACTAACATCAAGTATGGTTGCTAACGATGCTCGGCGACTTTAGACAGGAGACAACGCAATACGAAGACTTGCGTTTGATGGAGCACTTTATTATTTATGCCGACAAATGTGAAAAGGCTTCGGCAGCGTATCGATCCTCGTCGAATTGATTCACAACACGCAACGGCTGCGCTACACAGCTAGTGCTGGAAGACACACCTCGAGTCGCATAATGATCTGCGTCTGCAAATCAAGTATGAGTATCACGATGCGCCAATAAGCAGGCATTGTGGCCGTGTGAAACTTATCTTACGGTCAGCCTAGAATTATTATCAAACTGTGCGCATGTACGAGCGTGATTACGAAGTATGTCATTGGATGAATCGTGAATTTAATCTTCGTGCACCATTACAGCCTCAGGCAATTTCGACAGATTTAGTGGATCCATTATTATGAATTTCACCGTTGGGCTCTCCAAAGACGCTTGCCAAGATATGGAATTTCTTGTGCATTTGATCACTTCAACGCGATGGCGCATCTAATTGCTGTCCCGAGGTTAATTGAAGCTGAGGTCTATGCTCGTAGATATATTACAGGTTTGACCCAAGGAATGCCGCGCGAGCTTGTGTCTGATATGGGCCTCGGCGACTATTGCGTTCCAGGTTTCCTCACATAAGACATACCTCATCATAGCTACTTCTGACCTTTTAGATACAGATGGTCCTACGGGGCACGTCAATCGTACCCTAGAAGAGATTCTTTAAAGGTATGTGGCGAAGCTTTTTAAAGATCTGGGAAGCCACAGGACGAGTGGGCCAAAGAGATAGGGACTTGCCAAGGAAGAGCGACCGTTGGGTAAGGGACAGAGATCAGAGGCGCTAAAGGTAAACAACCGTTGGATGGGAAAAATTTACGGTCATAGCGTGCCATTTGATCACCATTCAAAGGTGTAACCGCAGTTACGTGGTTCCTCAAGGTGGACCCCAATCCTTCAAGGCCGAACCCGGTCTATCATTGGACCTCGGTCTTTTATAAAGAAAGATCTCGATCTTTGGTCGATGGACCCTCGGCCCCAGTCCCTAATTGTCGACCTTTGTCCTTCGTCAATAGACCACGGTCCTTCGTCGATAGACCTTGACCCCTCGGTTGATGGTCCCTACAGGTTGACCTTGGTCCTTCATCAATGGACCTTGGTCCTTCGTTGATAGACCTTGACCCCTCGGTCGATGGTCCCTGCAGGTCGACCTTGGTCTTTCATCAATGGACCTCGGTCCTTAGTCGATAGACCTTGGTTCATCGGTTGATGGACTATCAGCCCTGGACCCTGGAGGTCGACCTTGGTCCAGAGGTCCAGATACCCTAGCCAAGCAGAATCAAAAATCAGGTCTCAAGGGTAATGATACAGTAAAGGAGTTAAAGATAGGACTATATTAAATAATACTCAATTCGCGATCTACATAGCACGTATCCGTCGTGCTCTTAAGGAACTTGACTAAGTCTACCCGCCTGTCCCGGGAAGGGATATGATTTGTACCCCCCCCCGTCGAAGACAGTTGTGTGGTAAGACCCAAGTGAGAATAGAGCCCCAGAATATGTTTGGCCTGTGGGTTCGTTTGAGTGGCACCCTCCAATCGACCCGCTATCGGAAGCGGTCTCCCTATCTTAGTGGTTCGGGAGCAAGTAAAGGCCAGGCGGTTAACACTCCTGATGTATCAAGGAAAAAGCCAGGTGGTTAACACCCTTGAGGTATCAAGGAAAAGGCCAGGGTTGAGAATCTTCCCTGAAGAACTTGGTTATAAGCCCACCCTCAACCTAGTCGACCAGCCTACAGAGTGAAGTATACCCACTCGAGGCACCCCAAGGACGACCTCTCTTAAGGCCGACATCGCATCTCAACCAAGTCCTCCGAAGAGTGCAATCTGCCAGCCGACGGATACACAAGGTGAGAGAAGGTCCATACGCGACATCGGAGTACCCCCTCCGACAGTCGGCAGTCAGGCACAGTAAGTGGCTTGGGGTCTCATTACGCAGTTTTGAGAATTCACTCCACCACAGGTACGTTAACTTGCTCGCGAGTAAGGACCTTATTACTGATGGCGAATTTGTCATCAACAACTCGCATCTACCTACATACACCATTCTACGTAATGACATGCAACATCCTTGTCTCGCACATTCCTAGAGGTTGTCATAATTTTTGACGGAAGGAAGACGTCGGTAAGGGAACAAACAAAAACACGCGTCCGATCTAAAGCCAGCGCGACTTTAAATTTAAAGCAGCGTCTCCTTTGTCACACGAAGAATTAATGTGGCTCTCACATTTTAGTTGTATTTACGGCTTTCCTTGTCGTCGATGCAATAAATCCAGTAACTCTGCAAGTTCAGAGTTTATTCATTACGTCAGAAGCGCTTATTTGTTCAGCATACTTTCTGATGTAAAATAAAAATCGAGGCTGATGATACCAACGTCGAAGAGGTGGAAGAACATTGGAACCATACTGGTAACAAGAACAATAATGCTAAAGAAATCAGCATCGTCCAAAAGTTCTATGGCAAGAACATGATATTTTGCTAAAAGATACAGTTATATCTGCAATGCACCTACGACAAACTGAAGCCAAGGCCATCGAGGTAGCAGGCAGATTACAGCTCGCTTGATAAAAATTGGTTTGTTACGGCTAAAACTGCGTCGCTGAAGCGGTGGATAGGCAGAAAAACATGCTGACAGAAAATGAGGGCGATGATCATTCATGTAATTAAGCTGACTTAGTTTTACTGTCAACAGTACCTTTACCTTAACATGCAATGACTAGCGAGTGCAGCAGAAAACTGATGCCCAAGTATATTGGCCCAATTGTGTTTTACGCCTAGGCAGAGCATACAAGTTTAGCCTTTGCCACTTAAGACGCGTTCACACCCTACGTATACGTGGGGGCGTCTTTGTTCGTACATCAGTACGCGGCTTCTTCGAGCAACGAAGATAGCCACCATGCTTTAGACTCCCCATACAATTCTTGTGGTCACAACTTGGTTCGCAAATAGGTTTCGTAAAGACAAAATCTCCTTGTGCCATTAGGAGATATCGTGGCTTGAAGTCACCAGCTCGTTACGGAAAAAATATCTTTTTGCCCGCTCATTTGTAACTAAGCAGAGGCGGGCTAATAATAATAAATTGGCCGATTTTTGCGATAACTCACCACGAATCCGCCAAGCAGTGACTTATGTCCCATTCGTGGTCATGTCCTCGCGTGACTCAGATTTCTTGTTTATCCTCATGAGCTGTCTAGTAGATCTTCTCTGGCCATTTGAGCCCATCGGTGAAACCTTGACCAGCGACGGACAAATTCTCTTGCATTTGGTTGTAAGCTGAGGATGCAATTTGGATCTGTTTTTTTGAGATACATTAAGTGCTTCCTTTACACATACTGAGATTATGGCACTTATTTGAGTGACTAGTGATTGATATTAAATTTGCCCCTATGTTTGATGCAGCCCTATATAAGAGAAGATCCAAGATGGATCAAGGCAGCTTTTAACGCCAGTGTTTCCTGCGATCGCGTGAGGAAAACACCACGCTATCCACCACCTTCGATCCAGGTCCTATCACGATCAAGATCGGAGCAAGTCCGCCGAGGAGAGTGCAACCCGCCCAGTCGACGGGTGCACAATGGAGGAAGGTTTAGCATATGGTATCGGAGTCCTCCGTCAGTCGATATTTTGGGCTCCAGTGGAAGGCTGGTATCGCAGAGAGTTTTTGTGATACCGCTCCACCACATTTGCTACGGTAGCTCTACTACATCAACAGCCTTGACGTCAGTGTGGAGAGGTACCGCACAAAACATGAATTTAGATGATGGTAGCTCTCTGGTGACGGTATGTATTTGTCCACAATGTATACATCATTTGTGAGGTCTGTCTTAACAAGCCTTTTGCGGTACGCAATATGTTTGCAAAGCAAACTACGACCAGTGCACGGTATAAGTTTTATACGTTGCACGGATGGTCTGCCGTGCCCCTCTCTTGGGGCACCAGAGTGTAAGTTACATAAATAACTCGAATCGTGCGCCTAGGAATACTTTCCTCCGTAATGTGCCCTGGCGAAGAGCTCGCATATTATTTGAGATGCATGAAAGATGCAGCTTTAACTATTCTTTAAACGCGCTGGGACTATCTTCGATGGTTCTTATGCGCCATAGGCTGTGCTTCGTCGCGCTACCAATGACATCGACCATCTGATACGAGCGAGGATTTCAACCATCCGCCAAAGTCAAAAACCCGCAAGCAAGTGCTGACTAGCGCGAGAGTTCACCTCGTGATGTGGTGGTGGAAACAAATGGAATACAACTGACTAGTCAGGTTTGACCGCCAGTTCGATGACTACATCGCGTATATAATCGATTTGTTCAAACAGGCACGTAGTGAGCGCTGAATCAAGCCAAAGTTTATGCCTATCGGACCACGGCAAGAATGGTTGGAAGACAGACAGGATGAAGCCAGAACCATCTAAACAGTTGGTTTACCAGTACATAAAGTTATAACTGATTATATAAAGTTATTAGTAATTCAATTTTGTCAGTAAGTAAAGGTAAGCAAAATCAGTCTAATGACTTCTTGAGCATAATAGTCAAGTATATTTGAAAAATTGAAGACATATTTGTAAACCTTCGGTTATCATATCCTGAAGATGACCATTAAATGGTGCATTCATTATCTAATCTTCTTTTCATCTCAATGGTCCACTAATGATGTCTTTCTTTTCCTGTTTCATGTTAAAATGTAGAAAATCTTTCGACAGTTTCCATCGCAACACTCGGATTTCATTCACGATATGAGCTTTGACTTTTACGGCAAGCGACTTGCTACGTGTAGTTCGGACCGCAAGATTAAAATATGGAAAGAGCTTGGGCAGGAATGGCGTCTTGAGTATGAATGGAATGCACATCAGGCTAGTGTTTGGAAAGTAGAATGGGCACATCCAGAGTTTGGTCAGATCTTGGCCTCGTGTTCCTTTGACCGTACGGTCTCGATTTGGGAAGACCAGGGAATGTATTTGAATAGTGGCAATGTCTCCGTTTTGAGTGGAGATGTGACGACCATTAATGGAGGAGTAATGGCTTGTATCAGTTCAGGAACAAAGGATGGATGGCGCAATCAAGCGCAGCTGGTGGATGCGAGAGACTCGGTCCACGACGTTAAATTCGCCCCTAGACACCTGGGGCTGCGTCTCGTACGTTTAGTGAAATACAGAAATACTGAATCTTATATACTGGAGACTGACAGCATTTATTTGGTGTGTTGGCGGCAGGCAACAGCGTCGGAAGACGGCTTTGTACGCATGTACGAAGCAATTGATGTGATGAACTTGTCGCACTGGCCGCTGCAGGAGGAATTTTTAGCAGATAAGGACGGGGCTACGTGTGTATCGTGGAACAAGTCACGATTCGATGTGCCGATGATCGTTGCGGGTGGCAACAGTGAGGTGGCTAAGGTCTGGGGGTACAACAACTCGTACCGCAGGTGGCAGGTTGTCGCGGAGCTAGTGGGTCACACGGATGCGATCCATGATGTGTGCTGGGCACCAAATATGGGTCGCTCGTCACATCTCTTGGCGACGGCCAGTAAGGATCGCACGGTGCGCATTTGGCGACTTACGATTCAGGAAGATGACCACCTGCAAGCAGATGTGGAGGAAGTAGCGCGTAAGCATCACCATGACTCGGAAGTCTGGCGAGTGGAATGGAACGTTACCGGTACAATGCTGGCGTCCTCGGGTGATGACGGTACTATTCGTATGTGGAAAAGCGACTTTGAGGGCAAATGGGCTTGTGTTAACACTATTTGCGGAGACTTAGGTTCTGCCGTAGCGCCACCGCCGATGGACTTACGAACTAGTTAATGCAAGCTCACATTATGGAGCGGAGATCACTGAGCTAAAGAATAAGGTGAACTTGATGCTGTTTGAATAGGAGAAAAGAGTTGGTGTGAATCATTTGCATGGCATTAGTGCAATTTTGCCACTGCTGAAATGCTACGTGGCATCTGCCTTGTTTGTCGAGTAGAATGTAGTAAGATCCTTACGCTGCCTTGCAATATACCGGACACTCATGGCAAAGTTATGCAAAAGGTGAACACGATTTGCAGTTGTGGATTGTGTGGAAAAAAGATGACCTGTAACTATGATTGACAATTGTTTGTTCTTAATCTTAGGCGTTAGCTACTCAATAAGAGAGAAAAAGAAAGTGACGAAAGGTTTGAAAACATCCTGCAGGCCACGGAAAGAACGACGTAAGCCACGAAATCAAGGATGAGCTGCAACCTTTCGAAAACAGCCGCACATGCCAAGCCATCAGCTGGCAAACAACCTGAAATACGGACTGAACACTCAGAATGACTTCACAGGCGCAATGCAGGGCTCATTCCTATTACTTTTTTCGGTCGTTCTGGCCAGCCGGACATTTGCAATGGCACCATCAATGAGTTTCACATACTCCTCGGACAGTGAGGAAACTCGCGCAAGAGTCGCAGCGCGCTGCAATGCGTTGCTGGCCTCGTTCCAGCGCTTGTTAGCCATCAGTAGTTGTGAATAGTTGTAAAGCACGGCAGGGATCTCGCGGTCAAGTGCTGAGAGATCCTCAACCTCACTTCTTGATGTTTTGGACATTTCTCGTCGTCCTTGGTTTTGATTATACGCGCTGATGGACTGCTTGTAATACTTCTCCGCAGTCGTGATGTGACCCCTAAGAACGAGAAGCAAAGCATTCAGTGTCTCTGTCATGTGCACACAAAGACAATCGAACTGCTGCAAACCTGTTCTCGTACGACTGTGCGATGCGGTCGAGTGTGACCACACAGTTTTTCTCCCTCTTAGCGACATTTGTCTCTCGCAAGTTATGCTCCAACGCATCAAGGTAATACTTCGTTGCAACCTCGCTTCTTCCCAGAGCGTCATACTGCGCAGCAATGGCAAACGCTACCTCAAACAAATGGCGATCTGCATATATATATATATATATAGTGAAAGCATGGAGATTGAGTTCTTCAAGTGGCAAAAAGTACCATTACATTCGCAACGCACCATGCGAATTGGTACTCTTGATGACGTCGTACGCGTGGAGACAGTGTCTAATTGCTTGTTTCGCATCTTCCTGTCATTCCATATCAAGAGATATCATTAGCAACCTGAACAAGTATATCGCCGGGAATAGCAGTCATTCTCCACCTCCCCCGCACTCTGTTCTGCCTGCTTCAGCAACTGCTGGACTTGATTCACCGGTGCATTCTCACGGTTCTATTCCATCAAAAAGCCACATGAATAATCCAAATTAAATCGTGAATGCTTGTCACGTATTTCCTTCCTTGTATGTTTTACTTCCTAGTCTACCTGGTAAAAGCGAACACCTGCAGCTCCAGTTACCACCATAAACGCCAGCAGCATCACCTCTTTCTTCATCCAGTGCTTAAAATTCACCTTTAGCGCATCTTCCGAGCCTTTTGAAGCATTGGAAACATTTCTCGAAACTAAAACATGATTGCAAGGTCCAGTAGTTGACATGACGCCAATGCGACGCAGCAAAGGACGGGAGAATCGTGCGGCCATTGTTACAGAGATGAGATGATTGGAATTCTAACCAATAACGTCAAGGATGGAAAGACAAACCTGAAACCTGTCAGTTAATTTTGAGCACCATGGAAGAATGCAACTATCATATAAAGACCAGTACAGCTTTGTCCAGCGCAACCTAGGTGCATATCTAACAGAATGTACGTGACTGCCGGTTGACGCTTTCGAATCGAATGGAAACTCGAATATTGACATTTCGAATCAAATCCACTGTCTTGGACGCGATAAGCTCAAATAACTGCCCAAATTGCAGCCCTTAGGAAGCATCTTCAGCTCGAATATGATTCTACAATTAATTTTTTGGCTACAAGAAGGATGAAAGCGTAGAAAGATGAAGAGATTGGATTGCCGAGGTGCGTAAGAGTATCTATGGAGAAACATCCAGTCCAACCGCTTGTACAGCGTGTAATTTTGGATCGCGAGGTTGATCCATCGAGTTCGCTTTGGTCGCTCACCGAATATTGTGTGCGATCGCGTGATATTACCTTGGATGGAACTCAAACTGGAGAGGATCATAAAACTACAATTGTAGACCTTACACCAGTAACAGGCAAGACCCACCAGCTTCGACTGCACATGCAGCATCTAGGACATCCTATTCTAGGCGACTCATTGTACTCTCCAGAGCTGGTATATCACCGCGCCTCGCGTCTATGTTTACATGCTGCGGAGCTGTCATTTACCCACCCAGTTACAAACGAGCGTATGAGTTTCAAAAGCTTGTGCCCCGCTGACTTTTTCACCACCAAGGCAAACGAAAGTGCCATGAATGAACGACCTTCTGTGCCTGCAAAACCAATACAAGGCTGAATGAGTACCATATGACGACTTAACAGGCAAATCAACAGTATGAGACCCTTAATTGAGTGCTAATACTGTTGAACACATGTGGTCAGGCAGGAACTGCTACCAACTCGTTTGGTGTGCCTGACAACATGACGTGACGAAATGATAATAATGAATCTTATCAAGCGACGCCCTAAGCAGCAGGTTGTGCACCCGTGTCGTGGGTAATGACTGTTTTAATGTTTGTTGTAGTACAGCCTGCAGCTGTAATGTGGAGTAAGCCATATGTGGCTGTCTGTGGTCGCCGCAAATGAGAGTATGCCATATGACTATTTACAGTGCCATTGCCTTCGATTTAGACTGGGTCACTTTAAAGTCGTCAACATCGTTGCGGCCCAGAACCTGTTGTAACATGCGCGAGGCAGAATTGTCTCGCTACCTTATACATGTTGGCATTGCGTTTGTGCTGTTGGTAATAGCACACCTTCGATTTGTCGTTGTTATATCAATACTTAATTGTTGACCTCGGTGCTGATGATGGTGGTCATTGACGTCGTCTTTAATAAGAACACTATACATTGATCCTATGTGCTGCAAGGAAAAACAAAAAGCTAAGTCTGACAAGTGCAAGCAAAGGTTACAAGGACACCATAGCAGTTTGTTTAACGGGCAAAGTAAGTAGATGAACATTAATCAGACTAATCTCACTTCGGCAATTGCCAAGAATAACAAAAGCGTAACTTCAACACATGCGGAGCACTAATTAAAATGTTTTGCGTCGTTGATATCATATGATGAGCTTCATCAAACCAAATAACTTTGCGGTCCAAGAATGCTACGTAAATGAGCCTGTCATGTTTCAGCGTGTCTAATGCGCCCATGACTGGTTCTATACGATAGCCAGCTGTTAGCAAGAAGCTGGCATGGTTGGCAAACAATTTCCTCTGTTCATTGCTGCATTGAATCTTCGCTTCTATGTCAAAAATTTGGGTTGTTGTTTTACTTGCGTTACTTCGGTTCTTGAGATCTGCTGTAGTGGGAAAAAAAGACAGAGCCTGTTGAATTTGGCGCTTCAACTAATTCAATCTGGTTCATGAATTCGTGATCCTAAGGCTCATATCGTATCGTAGCAGTGCTTGCTTGACACTCGTCTTACCGTTTCACAAAAGAAGGAAGTAGCAAGCTTCGTTCAATTAATGTCGTTCGATTAATGGCAATGTAACCTCGAGCGTATAAATGATGGTTGTAGAATAACATGTGAATAGATATGGGCCAACGATAGCCCATCTATGCCAAGCACGATATACCTATGAGAACTCAGACCTGCTCAGAGACATTTGTTAGTGTAGCCCGACAGACAAGACCACTTTTTATCCGCAAAGCGATTTAAAAAGTGTGAAATACTGTTGTGTGTACATAGAAAACCTTGACATGCGCAAACCTATAAATCTTTAGAAATACAGCTATGGATTATCAGTAATTTTGCGGTGGCTACATGCTTTCATTTATATTGTCAAGAAACAACAAATGCTGTGTATTGCCAATGATTGATTGATCAAGAATTTAGGGCTATAATTATTTTGCTACTCAACGATAGAAATACAGAAACCTCGAAAGAAATCGTTAAAAGTGGTCGTATAAGCAAAGTGGAATACATGTCTGGCACAAATGACACCATTTCAAGCTGGTAAGTGGTTGGTGATAGCAGCTGGTGACACGGTCGCTGTGTCCAAATCGTTACTAGCGCATAAGAAAAGGGTACATACCGTTTTATTGACAAGAGCGAGGTCATATGCTGGCTCAAATTACACGTTGTGCCGTCGTAGACGGTTTAGTAATTCCTGCAGCTCGAAACGGTTCAAATATGTGCTGGCTCTAATTGCACATGATGGTGATGCTGTGCAGCCGAAACACGACTTAGTCACTACTGCGTTGCCAATAAAGTCAAATTACCTTAATGTGTTTCGCTTCGGTAAAGATATGCTCTTTGACGCTACAATAGACATAGTATCTACGCGATACATGCAAGTGTGAGCTCCATCATGTGGCGAAATGTAAGAACAACTTCGAATATAATGCTGCTAGACTTTCTGGTGCAATCTGATGATGACCGAGAGACCGTAGGACCCGTTTTGCTTCAGCTACCACCAACCATAACATATCTGAGAACAAACGTAGCATGCGACATGTGGCATGACATACGGATAATCATGTCGCTGCTGTCGCCTTTACGTTGGTCGAGACGATTCGACGACAGGAACAACAACTGTGTTTCATGCACCCTCAGCATCCCTCACTTGTAAATTCTACTCCATCACAACACCCGACTGACTGACTACCCAGGCCGCCTTTCAAGCTTCGACAATGAAGACCGCCTTCGTATCCGCTGCCGCACTCGTCGCCGCCGCTGTCTACTCGAGTGCTGCCGATTGTGACCTGACCAAGATCAAGGGTTTGCTATACCCTAATGCAACCCAAGGGCTCGCCAACTGCGAGAGCGCCACAGGCATTAACATCTTTGGGGTGGTCGAATTTCCTACATTGGACCAGGTCAAGAAGCTTTCACAGAACGTCGACTGCGCCGACTACCTCAACCAGATCAACCAGGTGGCCAACGCCGAGATTCAGTGCAACGTCACCGTTGCGGGCGTCACAATCAAGTTTGGAACGCTTATCGCTGACTTTCTTACAGGAAAGACCGGCAACGAAACCGACGTAGGTACCGACGTAGGTACCGACTCCGGTAGCTACGAGAGCATGAGTATGAGTGGCAGCGATTCTGGATCCACGGATCTCGACATTGAGGAACTCACTCCCAAAAGACCAGCTCCCACGGACGCGCCTACCCGGGAGCCTTCCACCTCACGTGTCTCCGCTTCCAGTGCCCATGCTCTTTCATTTGTTGCCTTCTGTGTCACTGTCACGCTTGCACTGACATTGCAGTAATTAATTTTACCTTAACGAAGATGATAGTGTTTTGGTGAAAATACATGAAGCTTATGTAATTCTTGTTTTCTTGGCGTGAGTGAATTGTTTTTTGGTTGGTATACTTAGCGTCACGTCTTGTACAACCTTTTGACAAGGTATTCTAGATGAAAAGCTTACACGTACATGCGGTCAGAACGACCTACAATATCGATTCACTTTCTAATACACTATCCGTCGTATGTGTCTGCCGTAGCCGAGATTACAACGCCGGCGCTGACAGGCGCGACGTTGTGTCAGGGCGCTTCTCATGGGAGAGAGAGAATGTGAGGAATATTCAGATACGCGAGTGACCCGCCATATCCTGCTAACAGTACCCGAAAGCACCGTACAGACATTTGCTTAAATTATTATGTAAGTACGAGGCCTCGGACAGCTAATCTGCGCCGCGCGAGGTGTTGCTCTGATATGGCGCGGCCTGTTGCGGTCATCGCGGGACCCGTAAGATCAGAGTGCTCGTCCACGGAGGTCTCTTGTTGTCGTTATCGAGGAATGCGCAATCTCTGTAACGATACTGCGATCCGACGATGGGTGCACTTGAACTCAAGCGCACGTGTCCATTGCGATGTTGGCCACGCGATCCGCCATTGTGTTGCATTCACGGTAGTGATGACCCCAGCCGGCAACGGCATATCGTCGGCTAGGGCTCGCGCTCTCGGTAAATCAACGTCAAATGTGTCTTGCGTGGAGAGCGATAAGTTCTGAGCTGGGAAAGCACCAAGACGCTGTCCCCGATTACATGCAATTGTGAGTACCCGCTTGCCTTCGCCTGGCGGAGGCCGTAAGCCAGACCTCGATATTCAGCGATGTTGTTGGTAGAGAGATGCATGACCGTAGGCCATGCTCGCCACCCACATGACGCAGACTGTGTGCATCGGGAGGTAAACCTTGACAACGACAGATCCCGAACCTCCCGGTCCAGGATTACCTCGATCTCCACCGTCGAAGAAAAGTGGGTATAAAACGTTAGCGCGTTCGTCCCGCCGCAGCGGATGCAGTTGGTTATGCTCCTTAGAGAGGAGTAGAGTGTTGGCAAGAGCTATCCGCGCATGTGCCAGGTTTCGTCCTTCCTCTTCGTCTCCGGGCTGTTATGTTGAGCGTGTTAGTGCACGTTGAAGATGAGACCGTGCCCGGATAGTGTGTGCTTCGTTCGGGAGTGTTAAGTCCTCCATGCGACGGAGCCGCTCGATCCAGATGGCATGAAGCGCCGATGCAACTACGAAACGTCACAACTCGCACGCAGCCGGAAACACTGCGAATCGAGATGTTGCCGGATCTCCGTGCGGCCCAAGAACATTCTTATTAGCTTTTCAGCAGCGCTCGGAAAGCCCGGAAGCTCCATGCCAAAGACCATACGTGCTTGTCTGTCTCTTCGAACATGCCAATACACTGCCATAGAGAAAATAATTTTTCCCAATGCCGTTGCGCCACAGGGCAGCTCCAGAAGACGTGGCTTGCCGTAGCTGATTGACCACGTACACATTCCGACTGTGGACACGACAGGTTCTGCGCCGCCCAATTCCATAATGGGAAGCTGTTGCTCTTAAGCCGATAAAGCGTTTGGGTACAGGTAGGAAAAGTCGCCCGAATTCGCCTGAGGTCTCTCCACTGGCGGTGGAAATCACTCGAAAGTCCTGCTCGCTTATCGCGTTGTTGTTTCCCTTGGTGACGGAGGCGACGCGAAATCGAGCAATAGATGCTCAACTGGGCATCATTGGACTGCTTGAGCGTGGGAAAGATGGACATGTTAGCGATGTCGTACCCGAGTTCTTGATGCATCGTGGATGTACACTATACATATTGGTTTTGGTCTGTGCTAAGTAGGTTTGTCGTTTTCTGTCGAGCTTGCCTAACGACTAATGATCACGATCAGATTCAAATACTGTTGTTCTGAGTAGCCAAAACTTGTAAGGTTTAAACAGAATACACACAGGCAAAGCCGAGTATAGCTTGTCTTCAGGCAACGTATCCTTTCCTTCAACTGGATGGCATAGTTGATCTTTGCTAAGCATGGCATAACCACGTACCTATTATCTCGTGAGATGAAACAAGCAAAAGGATGCAGTAATTGAAAGGCCCAGCTAAAGTCGTTGAAGACGTCCTATGTTTACATTGGCAGATCAACATTCTTGTTATGCGTTGTAAGACATTGAAATTATCAAGTGGCCGCTGATTCAGGAATAGCAGATTTTATTGTGAAAAGGAAATTATACAATAGTTACGTGCAACAACTCCATGCACTTCGCTAGACTCTATCATCGTCATCATCATTGAGACAATGTTAATTTACTGCAACGCCAGCGCGAGGGTGGCAGCGACACAGCAGGCAACGAATGAAAGAGCACGGGCACCTGAGGCAGAGGCAGAAGCGGAGGACTTCGGGGCAATGGTGGGTCCAAAATTGGTCGGCGTGTTGTCAAGCTGCGTCGATCCTGAGTTGCTGGCATCCCGAATCTCGATGGAGCCGCTACCGGAGTCGGACTCGTTGCCGGTTTTTCCAGTAAGAAACTCAGCGATAAGCGTTCCAAAATTGATGCTGACGCCCTCAATGGTGACGTTGCACTGAGTCTCGGCGTTGGCCACCCGGTTAATCTGATTAAGGTAGTCGGCGCAGTCTACATTTTGCGAAAGCTCCGTGACCTGCTCCGATGTAGGAAATTCGATCACCCCGAAGATGTTAATGCCTGTGGCGTTCTCGCAGTTGGCGAGACCTTGGGTTGCATTCGGGTATAGCAAACTCTCGATCTTGGCCAGGTCGCATTTGGCGGCACTTGAGTAGACAGCGGCGGAGACGAGTGCGGCAGCGGATACGAAGGCGGTTTTCATGTTTGAGGCTTAAGAGGTCGGTTTGTGATCGAGTGTTCGGCGGGAGTAAAGTCTGCGAGTGAGGGATGCTGAGTGCGCGTGAACCTCAGCCATGCTGCTTTTGCCGGCCGTCCCCACCGAAACAAGGCCGACAGCAGTGACAGAGTTGCGCGTAGGGAGCGTTAAAAATGGCGCATGCTCGTGGAAAGCCTAGGGCGTCCCTAGATATATTATAGCTAGTTTGCAGCAGAAGCGAAACGGGTGTTACGGTCTGTTGGTTGGACAGCGAATGCTGGAAAAGCCTAAAAATGACTCAGCTTATATACCGAGATAGACTTCGTTATCGCTTTCGTGCAAAGTTGTCCTTTCATTTTGCCGCACCCCGGACGTACTTTGTGATAGGGAGCACTAGTCCAAGCAGCGTGAGCCATTATGCAGACGATATACTTACTTGGTGCAACGACTTGGACTGGAATGAATTATGTTTCGGTTAGTGTTGTCAGCAGCAAGGTTCAGATACTATAAATGATAAACTTAGCTAACAAAAAGACAGACTTGCAAGCTGGAGGTGCCAGGTATTCCTTCTGTGTTTGTCTGTCGTGACAGTTTTTCGATGCTGGTTTGTCTGCTCTACATCAAATGCTGACAAAGTATTTCGTGGCGGCATCTGCAAAAACTGCACTCAATGCTGTCGTTTATAGAGTGGCCGAGCACTATTAGGAACGAGTAGTTGCTTATCTTTTGACCAACCTTTAAAGAGATGTCCGAGCTGACCGTAACTTTTAGCGTCATCTTGAGTTGTGAGGTAGTCCCAGGACTGGGGATCAGTATGCTGATATTAAAGTTTGTTCTCTTTCACGGTACCATGGTATCGAACCTTGAAAAGCCATACCACCACTTCTTCGTGGTTTCAGTCTACCGCTGCCATCTTGTGCTGCCGATGATGGATGAACTCCATGAATCTTTGTGAGATTATAGTTTAGTGCACTGCTGACCGGTTAACGTTCAAGCAATCGTGCAGCGAAAACCAACATAGTTTCATGTAAAAGGAAGAGCAATGGAAAAGCATATTGCCAACATATAAAATTCAATTTGATGCAGGAACTATCACTAGTTCAGATGGAAGAACTATATAGTTGTCAAGAAGTGGTCTACAATGCAAAAGCCAGCACAGTAGTTGCCGCAGCCCATGCAACATTGAAAATGGGAGTCATAGTGACACCTGCACTGCTTCCAAACCCATCGATACTGCTCTCCTGACTATTAGCAACCGCTTTCGACGAGTCCTCCGATCCTGAGCGGAGTTTTTGTCCTGAGACGTTGCCTGATGCGGAACCACTAGCAGAATCGCTTGCAGAGAGTGAGACGCTTCCAGACATGCTGCCCGAGCCGACATTGTCGTCCTTGGTCTTGTTGCTCGACTTTCCCATCAACAAGTCTGTGAGTAGCTCAGCCAGGACGATAGTTTGATTGCCCACTTGCGTCTCGCACTGAATCTGTGTATTGGCCTGCTGATTCAGCTGGTTCAAGTAGTTGACACAATCACGTGACTGGAAGATAGTCAGGGCCTCCTCGTTCGTAGGAAACGTACTCATTGCAAACACATCCATACCAGTGGCTGCCGCACAGTTTTCATGCCAGGTTGTACCATTCAAAAGTAGGCTGTTCTGTATAGTGTCCATGTCGCACGATTCTGCAGCGTACACAGCAGTAATAGCGCTAGCGGCGGCAATGAGGAGGAACGTGGAAAGCTGCATATTGCTTGGAAGAAAGAGATCAAAGCAAGATTAAGAGTAACTTTGCAGTGATTCTGATGGAGGAAGTTTCAAAATGAATGAGCGGCGACGTACAGTCGAAGATGAATCCGCGAGCACAGTCAATTGAGGAGGCGATAGATACTAAGTTGAAGTGGTCCAGCCAATCATCAAGTAGGAAAAGGGATAGTAGCCGTTACTCGCGTCGTTTCATCTCCATGCTGCATGCGTTCGTAGTCAACTTGTCAGTGGTAAATCTGTTAGAATGATGATGTTACGAAGCTTACAAAAGACAGTGTAGTGAATGGAATGAAGTATGTGAGTAAAAAGCTTTGATCATCCTTGATGTCACCATCGAGTTTGATGGTCAAACTACTGCTTTGAAAGAAATGTAATTGTAGCTATGGCATCGAGGTGAGAGTTCACGACGAAATCGTCATGTCCTTGAAACATGAACAAACGATTGTACAAGCACATATTTATATCTTTCCATTGAAAGTGAGATATTGAGAAATGTTAAACTATGTCATTCGCGACACTTTGGAGCGGCCTTCACCGTTTCAGATGACGTGTTTGCTAAACAAATGGGGAAGTGATAGAGGGACGCTAGATTGTGACGCATGTTACTGCATCGGGCATCAGATTTTAGTAGGGTACACTCCTCACACAGTACAGGTTTGCTGTGCCGACCAAGACATAGGTGACTTTCTGTAGCAAGATGCTGATTCGCCGAGTGAGCCTGCGTGAAACTCATCGATGATGCACTGTTACGTATGCAAAATTTGCTATGCAATATTAGCTACACGTCACATGACTTTTACGGTCAGCACAAGTTTCACTCTGTCAATGCATGTATCCCAACCATCACGAAAGAGTTTGTGAAAGAGCTGATTGTAAACTGCCCCAATGGATGGGGGTCCAACATTGGCTGACAGATCTATTGATTTCACTCTTGCAGATGCAAAGTATCGAGTGTAGGTAGCAGCAGACAGAATACACTTCAGCGTAACATATTAATCGCTGACCATATCGCGTTTACCACCGGGCCTAAAGATACTATTGAAACTGGCTCGGTGTACGAAAGTCAAGGCGTTTTTTTCTAGACCGTAGACCTTCGGAAGTGATAATTTACAATCGGTGATCCATCAATATGTCGCTGTGGTGATTCAAGCGAAAGTGCTGAAGCTGACGATGCCCAGTTGCGTCTACCCACATCGCTTCGCAAAAGGATATCAGGCGCTCTTGTACTGCAGCAATACCTAGCCCGGCATCTTTCTAAAGTTTGGCCTCCATTCGTCAAATCAGGAATGACAGACAGCGTTGAATTACGCCGCCGTCGGTAGTCAGGTAAGAAGCTGTTGACGGTCTTCATAGCTTTAGCTCCAATAGACAGTTGCTTAGTAGATACAGAATCCTGATACCCGTTTCGGGTGCTACATGGTAGTGAAGTAGACAACGTCCTTACCCCGCGTTGGCAAGACAAATACTCCACTTCAGAATACTGCAAATCGGCTGAGAACAACTTTATCGACTGACGAAGATTTGGCATGCAGAGTACTTCATCGTCATTGTCATCTTCTTCTGAAATGTTATCGTGATCCCACCGTCCACATGTCACGTTATAATTGTCTTCATTCGCATCTTGCGATGCATATTGTGCAGAATTATCGCGTAGCACGGTAGCAACGCAAGCTTTACAAAAGCAGCGGGCCGCCATCGGTCCATTCATCCATCTAAATCGAGCGGACGGCACTATCTCCTGCCGCACACTGCACTGTGAGCACGTCCAATGGCGACATGCTGCGCACCGTCGTTTGAGTGCGTTGCCTAAACGACGCAGACACATTCCACAGCGCCTTTCACCATCCAGCGACTCCCGTACTGATGTTGAGGAGATTGATGCAACTGCTTGCTTTGCCTCGGTTTCTTCCACTGCTCTTGCCAATTTTTTAGCCAGCGCACACACGCGTACATTTTGAAGACTCAACAATGTCTCCAAAATACTCTTTTCCGCAATCAACTTTGGCAAGCCCAGTCCAATGGCACCAGTGCCACCTCCGACATCGTACTTCCCTTCGTGAAAAACCAACACTTTTCCATTTTGTTGCTGTCTGAAGAAGGAACACAGAAAAATCTGTCCTCGTATTACAGAATGATTCTGAAATGGCGGACAGGACGGGAATATGATAGAGTGACGTAGTCTATAGCCTAATTTAACACCTGTTTGAGGCGAGTGGACGATGCCTGTAGCTGACAAGTAGCAGAAATCTCGGTCTTTGACCACCAGACCTCCATGTGGTGCGCGTTTGAGCGCCCACTTGACACTCAATGATCGAAATGGGTTTGCACTCGATGGCATGACTATGGAGCAAAGCACAGCACCATCGTGTACATTATCACTAGTAAAATGAGCTCTCGCAGCACGTTCGTGACCTGATAGCCACATGGCTCCATACATAACGTCTTCGAGCGTTCCATCGACGCTACCAACAAGTCTCAATGCAGGTAGATCACACTCGCATTGACAACGTCGAATTCTTTGCGTATCATTGTCTTCATTCTCCAATTGCTGCCAATTAGCACACTGTCGCTTCTTCTTCTTCTCCTTTGGCCGTTTTTGTTTGTAGATTTTCATTCCTGCTTGTTGTCCTACAAATTTCCAAATCGATGACTGGGTATCTTCACAATAGGCATCATAACTAGATAAATAGATTGATAGAAGATGAGCTTTTATACGCTGTAAATCGTGGAGTTCACCTACGGAGAGACGCACAGGTGCGAAGAAATCCGTCGGTAGTGGGAGTCGCATGTCGAATTACTTGAAGTGATCCTTATTAGGGGTTTACAATCTGACAAACGAGAAAAAGTATATTTAACCAAGATTCTTCCACAGATGACTGGAATAACTAGTGAAGGAAGAATCGTGTTCAAGATGGATATCTCTCATCTACTTACGAGATATTGGCTCACGTTCTTTCATGGAGCCTTTTCCTCCGCAGCAGCGTTATGCCATGGTACGTGTATATGACCAACCTTGAGCAAATCCTCTTGCACGCTTTTCATAAGACGTAATCGACGGTTTTGATTGAACCCGTCAGGACACATCTTCGTCTTAAAGTCAACCAGTATTTGGTTAAACACCTTGATACTCGTGCACACACGATACGCTTCTGCCATCCGTTGCTTATCGCGGCTCTCCTCAGCCAGTGTCCAAACACTGGCGGGCGGCGATGCCAGAAGCCACGAGTCGCATGCAAACAAGTTGTTGGGTATCAACTGCTTGTTGAATATCCACTTGAAGCCGCGGTCGTCATCGGCCTCGTATGAATGGCGGTAATGCATCAAAGGTGGAGCCTCGCCTAGAATGACGGGACTCACAGGGTCCTTGCACGGATTTCCCTTCATCATGCTGACAAAACCAATGTAGTCGTCAGCTTTGTTGCCCAACGCCAAGTTGTCAAACGTCGTGTGCTTCACTCCATGCTTTGCCGCTGCAAGTGAGTATCCCACCATGTCGCTCATCCAATACTCGCGATTCGTCTGTTCTCGCTTAAGCATCGTCATGTTGCAGTAGTCGTCCATCAATTGCATCAAATCTTTGCGTGTGATCACGTACGGAGGGCCAACAGCGAAATTCTCTGTGACGTCCGCCGTTGATACCTTCGCGCACTCTGGACAGATTGACGTACTGTTTTCAAAAGCTGCAGTGCCCAAGTACTGCGACCATCGCTGCGCCACTGCCACACCGTCCACTACTGTATCGCTTACATTTTCACGTGAGCCAGCATATACAAAAAAGCGCTTGTACTGCCGCATGCCTTCGACAACCTCGGCATCGCGGTCGTAATTGCCCGAGTCCACATTCTTTGCCGATATCACCCGACCGCCAGTGTTTACTGCGAACGTCCGCACAAACAAGAAATTTGGATCAAGCACAACGATGAGTTCCTCGCGCACAGGAGGGTTGGCTGACTCCAACCAGTCTCGAAGTCCGAACGGTTTGTTGTATGGCGTATAGTCGTCAGGCTTTGAAGCCCCCTCGGCCACGTTGGAAACTTCCCTGACAATTGGGAGCGAACGAAAATCGCGAGTGACGTGAATGCGCAGGTGCGGCGAAGACTTGACCGTGCGACGCAGCAGCTCCTTTACTGCTTCATCTGAGCAGCCGCTTACAATGCGCGTAAGTGCTCCACGCTGGCCGACTCGTGCAAAGCTCTGGGCAAGAGCCTCACTCTGCCAGTCTTGCTGAATCTCACAAGAAGTTGTGAATACAAAGTGTAACTCATCGCTTCCTTCTTGACCAGGTTTCAGTTCATGTGAGACGTCAGAACTTTTCTTTCTCTTGTAGTCGCCGAAGTAGACGGGCGGTTCTTCCTCAATAGGAGTGCCATCTGCAAAAGCCAAAGCGGTGCTCCAACCTTTCTTCTGAAACTCCGTGCGAATACGACGATTGCGATTATAGCCAGTGGGGCAAAAATGAAAGCGATAGCTCTCAGACGCACTGTTGTAGGCCTCTACGGCGAGGCAGACACTCATAGTGTGACGGCGACGTAGAATGTTAGGCACACGCTCATATCCACTCGTGTGGGTAGCGAGATACCACAGATAGTCGGTCGGCTGACGAATCATCCAGGCATCGCAGGAAAGAAAATCCGATGGCACCTTGTCGGCAAAAAAACTCCATTCACGACCGTCGATCCACTGAGGCAATGTGAAGTTTAGCGCTCGAATTGAGATCGGATAGGACGATAATGCCAAATTTTCTCCTTCAGCTTGTTCCTTGCATGGGTTGTGATCAATGTCATCAACAAAATCCCAGTTCTGATAGCGAGATGAATAGTGATGTACACTAAGGACACCTGAGGTGCCTATAAACGTCTTCTCGTGAGCTGCAGCAATAGGGATAGCTAGATAGAGCTGTTCATGGGCCAATTTATTCCACATGTCAACAGCAATTGGCAACACTTCCTGCCATGCGCTTACCGCAGCTAGAAACGGTGCAATGGCAGCGTATTCACGCCAGTCATCCAGAAGCAGTGCACGAGAGTTTGTCGGCACGATGCTTTTTAGTTGTTCGCGTGTAAGAGGAAAACGATTTGGCCAGTACCACGATGCATCTTGACCAAAGATACGTGGTTCAATTGCAGCACGTACTTCAGCCACAAGGTTTGACATGTCGAGCTTCTTGGTAAAGATCGCGTCATTGTCCACGGCCATAACAAACTCATCGGATGTTAGTGCATAACGCTCATGAAATGGCACACGATGATTGTTCGTGACATTGCCATCATCTAGTCCAAGCATCCACTGAGACAGGACTACTGGATTCACCGTTGTCGTCAGGAGCTTTTCACCAAACGTTGTGTTGACTGCAGAAATATGAGGATAATGTCTCGTTTGCACGTCCTGACGTGGATCTTTCTTCTGCATGAGATTCAAAGCTTTTTCTGATGTACAACCATAGAGCAAATGTGTAATATTATCGTCATATCCCGTACGTCGTAATGTAAACGCAAGTACTTCTCCATGGATAAAATCAAGCTCACGACACGTGGATGTAAATACCACGTGTTTTACTTGACGTCTAGGACTTGTAATGTCCATTAAATTATCTTCATATTGTCCTTGTCCTCTTCCTCCTCTTCGATTAGTAGTAGTAGAAACACCATTGAATGAGCTATACTCTTTACTACGAAGGACGTTGCTAGAATGAAGTGAATTTGATGTAGTTGTAGTAGTAGAGTTTGCAATGAAGTAGAGATTAAAATACATGTAGAGGACAAAGAGAAGACTCAGGATAAGGAGAAAACCATTACGTATAGTCACAAACGAATGGAAATGAATCGGTAGAATGCCAGAAGAAGGTGACGTGATGTATCGCTGGGAATGCATCTTTGTATCTATTTGCCAAAAGTATGAAGTAACAATTGTCAGATATGAAATAATAATTATTCTAACCAATTGTAGTTGAGAGATCGATCTCTATCGATCGATATATGTTTATGAAGAGACGATTACGGTCTGGATAATCGATCATGTTGAGACATGAAACGTATCTAATCGAATCCTTCGTGGCACATTCTAAAGCTGCGTCGTCGGTTTCTGAACATCGCAGTCATTCATCTGTCCCGATCACGTAGCGTGGTCACGTCATACATAAAACATGAGCTGGACACCGCAATCCTATGAGTCCATTGTACTTAATGTCAGTAGCACCAATGAACTTCTTCATGCAATTGATGCTACTGATGCTTTTGTACCGAATGTACAGTCAACAAAATGCAATATCGAAACGACGACAGCTTCTCCATCAATGGCGACGTTACGACCTTCAGTACTCAAGGAAGAACAGCGTCGATCAAAGCACAATGCTAGTGAACGTCGTCGGACGAACGCGTTAAAGGTTCGTGACTAGGTAAAAAAGCGCTCCATGTAGACTAGATAATAACTGAAAACTTACTTGTTCAGACACGGATAGAAGAGATGCGAGAAGAGATGAAAGCGCTGGAAAGACAGCGTTTGCGACTCAAGCGAGAATCGTTTCTACAAAACCCAGCGCTATTGGATACGATTACACTGATTGACCAGTTGCGACAGGAACAACAGGAACTGCACATGAAAGTGCGCGCCTACGACATGCAGAACAGCACGTATCAGACCATTGTGTCGGAATATAGAGCTGATTTGGCCTTTTCCGGGGTTGCAGACGTTCATTATGAAACGGAGAATACGGACTCGGACAAGGAAAGGTTGACAGAAGCGCCGATCTTTCAGCGCGTGCTTTTTCGTCGTCCCTTGTCACTTGAGGTTGTCATGGCCTGTGTGAAGGAAAGTTATGAAGCTATCATGGCGGTTCACGCGGAGCGTGTCTTTGAATCGTTAGATACGGAAGTGCTAGGATGGAGTGATAAACGAATTTTAAACGACGGATCACTCCGGTTTATGCTGTCACAGAGGTTTGAGTACGTGACATCGTCGGAGCTCGTGTACAAAACTTGGAATCTGCTTACGGACCTTAAACTCTATCGAAACATGCAACCACGTACTGTGGCACTGGAGCTGCTTCAACGTGTGACGGAGGATTGCGTTATTGTGCGGCTGAGTGTAAGTAATGGCGACAAGGTACATCACTCAATCTTGCTCATTGCACGTGGTCGTATTGATGGTGGCTATTTAATCACGTACCGGTCGATTCCACTCTCAGAAGGACAACGACAATTTGTTTCGACAGAAAGCAGTTACGTCAATCTCTTCAATTGGTACATGTTCCTGGAAAAGATGACTCCTGCAGGTATTCCAGCGTGTGAAGTAACCTTTGGTGGTGGTGTTGAGAATCAATCGATTGAGTATCTTCGCTATCTTATGATGGAAGTTGTAGCTGGTGTTGTACGCTGGCAAACAGCAGTCGGACACAACAAATTTCGTCTAACACCTAGTTAAAGTCCTATCCAGAGGTAGCAAATTGTATTCAGTATTTGGCATTAATGTACCAACAGTGTCTCGTACGTACATGTACTCTAGCGGGTTCCAATAGCTTGTTGTCCTTTTGGCAATACAGCCGCACGAAATACTCCACAAACTTGCATCGACTTGAGCTCTGCGTTGTTTGCTTCACGCCAATGAACTTTGTCGGGTCCGTTTACCGCGTCTTGTAATGTCGTTGGCTCTGATAAATCGCTCACTTTGACTGCGTTATCACTTGCTCGCCAGGAGGAGTCAAGTCGCTGTCTTCATGATCATGGTTGTCCTTTTCTTCTTCTGACAGATCAGGTCCAGCATGTATGCCTGGTCGACTCTTCACTTGGCGCCGAAATGCGCGATCAGGAGCACTTGCTTCTTCGAGACTAGCACCATGATGAGCTGGACGCGAGTAGGCATCCTTGCTGTTGGCGTCACTCGAACGGTCCTTGCGTTTTCCAGTCTGCTGGTACTGTGATGGACCTCCGTTGTCATCACTGATGTCGAGTCCACTAAAGTCCAGCGTAGCATCTTCGTCGTCATCACTTGCACTCATAGTCGAAATACCAACGATCGTCTCGTCAAAGGTGACATCACGACTGATAACCACTTGTCCTGTCTCGATGTCGTAAGCTCGATACGCTTTTGATACCTCTTCGTATCCCATGAACACACCTGCACGAGCCTTGGCATCCCACTTGAGTCGTTTTCTTGAGGAGTCAAAAAACGTACGTACCACTCGTTCGATGATGGTTCCCACACCCTTGATTGCGGCCTTGTTGCCGTCAGCTACCAACAGTTCACCTTCATCTTGCTCATTCAGCGTCGTGAACTTGGCCTTTTTGTTGCATACATGGTGCGTTACTCCACTGTCAATCGCCCACATTCCAGGCATGCTCTTGCCCGTCGATAGTCCTGCTTCCAGCAAAACCGCAAACGCTACTCGATCGTAATCGTCGTCATAGTTGTTGCTGCTATTTCGCCACTGAACATTATTGGCTCCACGTCATCGGTTGTTACCGCCGCGTCGAGCACCTTGATTCTCATCCTTTTGCTTGGTCCAGCACCGCTCTGCCGTGTGCCCCATTTTTCCGCAGTACGTACACTGGCGAGGCTCGCGCTCGGTGCTGAAAGCCTTGGCCGCTTCTTCAGCTTTCACCGATGCCGTCTTCTCGCCTTGCTTCTTGATGTGCTTATTCGTAAGCACCCTCAAAACGTCTCTTGATCGTAATTCAGCGCTGTTCATCTCCAAACTCAGCATGACATTCCCGTAGCTCTTGGGGAGACTGCACAGTAAGCAAATCGCAACGTCTTCGTCCTCGATCTTGGCGGCGATGCTGGTAAGCTTGGCGCTGATGTTGAGAACCTTGTTGCAATGATGCATCACATTGCCGCCTTCCTTCATCTCCATACTGAAGAGATGGCGCTTCAAGTAGATGCGCCCAGACTTCTGAGATCCGCCGTACAGTGACTTGATTCGTACCCACGCAACCCATGCTTCCTCGCAATCATCAACCACGTGATGATAGTCCGCGTCCATATGCAAAAGCATAAGACCGAAAGCGACGTTGCTGGGCTTGACGTAGTCCTCCATGGCGCGCGGGTCCACAAACGTCGGCGACGTCTCGCGGTTGACGACGTGACACGCCGACTTGGTCAGGAACACGCCACGCATGTAGCGGCTCCAAGTCGTGTAGTTGTCTCGATTGAAACGATCAATGGAAACCTTGGCCGAGGGATCTTGAGATGAGGACATGGCACTTGGACTTAAACTTGTTGGAACTGGAACGTCGAAGGGAAAGAGGGGACGAAGCGACTGGAGGGAGCGGAGTATAAAACGCTTTCTCAATTGAATGAAGATTCGAAAGTGATTGATTAGTCGGAGGTTATTCTTACTACTGCCTGATTTATATGTGGTCCACATATAAATCAGTTGCAATTGTTCACGTCCTGATTTATATGTAGTCCACATATAAATCATGTAGATCTTCCTATCAAGCTACTCGTCTAATCAACTATGACGTAATTACCTGTAAGAACTCTGCTGTAAATACTAAGCCTTAAAGTTCGGATTGTACCGGTAACCCTCAATACTTGCGTTGAGTTCTTGCGTTCCACATGCATCTTGGAACCGTCGAACACCACTTGAAACTTGCCGCTCTTATTAATCTGCGGCACCAAAAGCAGATTCTTGTTCATGATTGGCACAAACAGCGCATCCTTAATCTCGGTGTCGCATTCGCCGCCATTGGGCAGAACCACTCGCTCGATGATGGTTCCCACACCCTTGATTGCAGCCTTGTTACCATCAGCAACCAAAATTTCGCCACCATTGCGACGACCAAACTGCAAAATTTAGCTCTGTCATGACAGATATGGTGAGTTGTACCACTTTCAACTGCCCACATCCCGACACATCCTTCTTTGTCGAAATTCCACATTCCAAAGAAACTGCAATTGCCACTCGATCGTGGCTGTTGCCTTCATCATATTGTCCCCACTGGACATTATTAGCCCCGAGTCCACGACCATTGCCGCCGCGTCAGGCTCCTCTACTTCATTCTTCTGCTTCGTCCAACAGCAATCCACTGTGTGTCCTATCTTGCCACAATACGTGCATTGGTAAGGCTCACGCTCGGTGCTGAATGCCTTGGCTGCATCTTCAGCTTTCACCGTAGTCGCCGTTGTCGTCACCTTCTCCCCTTGACGCTTGGCGTGCTCATACGTCAGCACCTTCACCACATCTTGGGTACGAAGTTCTGCATTGCTCATCTCTAAGTTCAGAACCACGTTCTCAAAACTCTTTGGGAGACTGAGCAACAAGCAGATCGCGAAGTCTTCTTCTTCCATCTTGGCGCCGATGCTGCTGAGCTTGGCGCCAACATTCAACACATTATTGCAGTGATGCAAGACGTTACTACCTTCAGCCATCTTCATGCTGAACAGCTGACGCTTGAGATAAATCCGTTCGGCCTTCTGCGATCCACCGTACAACGACTTGAGGCGTGACCACGCAACCCACGCTTCCTCACAATCGTCGACCACATGGTGATAAACGCACCCATGTAGAGCAATATCAAACCAAACGCGATGTTGCTCGTCTTGACGTAGTCTTTCTGTGCCCGTAGCTCCACAAACGCTGCAGAGTTCTCCCGGTTGACCACATGCCACACCGACTTGGTGAGAAACACACAACGCATGTATCGACTCCAAGTCGCATAGTTGTCCCCGTCGAATTTATCGATGATGACTTTACTCGTATAATTAACTATGACGTAATCACCTGTAAGAACTTTACCGTAATACTAAGCCTTAGAGTTTGGATTGTACCGATAACCCTCCATACTCCGCCATTAATACTAAGCCTTAGAGTTCGGGTTGTACCGGTAACCCTTAATAGGCTTCAAGCAAAAAGAAGTATGGCACTCCACGGAGACATTCTCACCAGTGGTCAAGTATGTGACGCTGCGCTTGGTGGTCGCACTGACCAAGTATTTTGGCTGGCCTCTTGACCAACTTGACGTGGTCACAGCTTTTCTTTATGGTGTGATGAAAGAAACGGTGTATTTCGCGGTTCCAGAAGGAGTAATTGGATGGAGACTTCAACTGTTTTGAGTTGGTGAAGGCAATCTACGGTCTCAAGCAAGCTTCTCGTGTATGGAACGAGACCTTCGACGAGTTTGTTCGCTCCATCGGCTTTCAAGTTTCGGCCTATGATCCGTGCCTCTACATCAAGATTGTGGACGGTCACTGCGCACAATTGCTGGTCTACGTGGACGATTTGCTGGCGACTGGGAGCTCGACCGAACTCATTGCGTGTACCAAGAGCGACCTCAAGACGCGCTTCGAGATGACCGACAGTGGCAAGTGTGCGTTTGTGTTGTGCATAGAACTGGTTTTTCGAACACACTGACAATAGCGTGACGATGTGCTAGAGGCACTGTGAGATGAATTTTCTGAAGCAATTTGGGATGGAAGACTGCAAGGCTGCAATAAGCCCAGCTGATGTGAGCAGATCGACTTACTCGAAGCGATGCGTTGACCAAGGTAAGCGCTCCATTTTGAGAAGCTGTGGGGGCGCCCATGCATCTGACGACCGCAACACGCCCAGAAATAGCTTTTGCTGTGGGGTATATATCGCGTTTTATGGAAATCCCCCAAGTCGAGCACTGGATTGCAGTAAAGCGTATTTTCCGCTATCTTCAAGGGACCAAGTCACATGAAATTTGTTTCAAGCCTGGTGAAAAGTTGATTTTAGTGGATAAGCTGATGCGGACTGGGCTGGAGACCATTCCGACTGCAAGTCGACTTTGGGATATGCGATTCTGTTGATGAGCGCACCGATCAGTTGGGGAAGCAAGAAGCAGTCAAATGTGTCGCTTTCAGCAAGCGAAGCTGAGTACATTGCACTAAGCTTAGCGATCCAAGAAGGCAAGTGGGTTCACCGACTGCTGATCAAAATTCTAGCAGCGTCAAACAAGTCGGCTGCTGGACTGAAGATTCTCGAAGACAACCAGTCCTGCATCAAGATGACGAAGAATCCCGTCAACCATGGTCGTGCAAAACACATCGACATTAAGTACCATCACATCCGTGATGAAGTCAAGCGTGGTAATGTGGGCTTGAGTATCGTGAGACTTCCATCATGCTCGCGGATATCTTGACAAAGGCACTTCCGGGACCTCGTCACACGGACTTGACGGCTGCACTCGGTAATCATGCGAGTTCGCAGTGAGGGGGCGTATTGAGGGTAACCGGTACAATCCGAACTCTAAGGCTTAGTATTTACAGCAGAGTTCTTACAGATAATTACGTCATAGTTGATTAGACGAGTAGCTTGATAGGAAGATCTACATGATTTATATGTGGACTACATATAAATCAGGACGTGAACAATTGCAACTGATTTATATGTGGACTACATATAAATCAGTTGGTAGATAGAATAAACTTTTATAAATCAATCACTTTCCAATTTACTT